TTAGACTGAATCAGACATGGATTATCACTTGCTAGGGTGAAGTATATCTACGTCTTTACTGAAAAATACGTAGATTTTGGACCTTGCGATGAACGGGTTCCTTCATTAGCCTCACATGCATAATGAAGACATTCTTGTTTAGCCGATTCACTAAAGGTCATTTATGAGTGAGAGCGGTAACATTAATAGGAAAGATGGGATCTCGCGATGAGCGTTTACGGGCAAAACCTTCAGACATACTTACTGTTTTTTCTTTGGTACATTTAATTTGTAAATTATTTTTTTTAGTTTGACAAAGAACAAACAGGATATCTGAATGAAAAGGGTGTTTTAGCCGCACTCAAATCCCTTGGGTTTAATAGATCCCCAACCGAATTGAAGGCAGCAATTAAAAATTGTGAAATTGACTTTACAGAAAAGAAATTAAATATTTCAGAGTTCAAAAGGGTAAACTTTCTTCACATACTATTGTCCAGGTGTACCAAGAATTCTGTAAACAAGATGCATCTGATTCCTACGATCCCCTGAGCCCCCGGACAACTATTTATCAGTATGGTTCCTCAAACGGCCCACAGGGAGATGACACTATCCACAGCGTAAGCGAAGATGAACAGGTTGCATTTTGTGGCTGGCTGGAAAGGTAATAATCCAAACGTACTAATAGTCGTTGATAGAAATTTGAGCGACGAGAAATCGTGCGCCCGGTATTTTCCGTTTAAGGAAGACGGCTCGGACTTGTACACAAAATGCAACGACGGTTTCCTGCTTTGGTTTGTTTGCTGACCGTATTATTTAAGCAATCCGCATTTTGGCTAATCATTTATTTTCAACTTTTTTTCGTTTCTATCAAAGTATAAAGTATATTATATCGAAATTACATGTTTGCATGCATGATCATGCAGTACAAGCGCAGAAACTAACGAAGAATTATAAATGTCCAAAACTTATTTCTAACAACGCACTAGTTTAAAGAATAAATGGGTAGGAATCGAATATCTTTGCGTATTTCTGAATTGAGCGACTGTCTGCGCATTTTATATCCTTTTATTGCTTAAAAATAACCAGAAAATAGCATTTACCAATAGAAGGTCTTGTTTTTCAAAACATGAATGGCAAAAAACGGATATGCAAATTTTTGAATTTAACCGAAACACTGGCCTCATTTTCGCGCTGTTGATTAGCAACCTAGATATTATTCCAGTAGTTCCAAATGTAAGATGAGTTTATTTTCTGAGGGTTTTTTCCTGGTATTGTTTAAGGAAGGAAAGTGTTGTAAATGGGATTGGGTTTTAAACTGCATTTTTCCCTTTTCCTTCACATATGCTTCCATTTACTACGCTCGTATCAATTATTCTTTTAAAGCAAAATAATCAACTGTTCAGCGCCGGATACCATAGACCTTCGGGCCTTGCACAGAGGTCCCAAACTAACCCGATACCAGGTACTGGAGAACATTACCCTTGCCTTGAACAGCGCTCGCGCTATTGGATGCAACGTAGTAAATATTGATGCAGCCGACATTCAAGAAGGTACCCGCCATCTTCTGCTTGGCCTTCTATGGCAGATTATTAAAGTAAGACTTACCACACTTGTGTGGTGTACATCAGAATTTTGTAGTGTTATTTTAGAACTTAAAGAGGATTTGCGAAATTTTTTGCCGAAAATTATTCAGAATCATTTCATTGAATTCAATAAAAATATAAAAGTCTAAGCGATTCTATGAGTAAGCATACTCTTGGCAAAATTTAAAAATGTGCGATGACGGTACCGGCAGAATTGTAACCAGAACTTTGACTAGTTGGTACGCAAATATACCTTTAAAGAAATAATGAGAAATAACGTTGCCAGTAGATATAGCTTCTAGCACCGTAGTAAACGCCCCAACTTTATATTACTGAGAATGTCCTTAATAATTCATTTTAATGGGATAATTAACATTCGCATATATGACTTGTTTATAATAGGCCAGGCCAGGTCAGGTTTATTAAGGGAAATATAGGCAAACGCCTTTGAAATCTCTATTGGTACACAGTAGTGCAGAAATGCATCCGTAGGGCATGACATTTGAAAAACGGTTTTTTATATATCTGCAGGCCAAAGTTGGTTAGCTCTGAAAAGTAAACACAGTCTGTAGATATCTGATAATGCGCACGTCTAAAGTATTATTTAGAGATATGTGATCCAGTTACTAGTGTTTGGATGAAAAACAAGGCGTCCAATCCTACTTAAGCCTTAATAGTACTTAATACGTCGTCTAAAATTGCAAACATGCGTGAGAATTTTCAACGACAATAGCGATATAAGAATCTTTTTTGGAACCAAGATTCTAAACGAAGATATTCGAGAGCACGTTTATCATTTGTAACCAGACGATTTTTACATTTTTTGAAAGATAGGAAATCCGTCAGAGCCGAACTGACTGGAAAAGCAGTTTTGTAGGAGGGGAAACGAGCCATAAATGTACGTCTGTTCTCAGAAAAGGGAATGTTCATGGAGTATAATTATTATATTAAACCGACTTAAAATATCCAGATATAAGCATCTTGTTGCATTTTGATCACATTTTGTAAAAAAATTTCGCTGCCAGTAAAGTCTGCTGAAGTGGTACCTATTTTTGTAAAAAGATAGTAAGCGGGACCAAAATTATTGAATCCCCTAATTTTTTAAACACCAAAATATAAAGAATACAGTTGCACTCAGTAAATATGATTGTCTGAAATTTGTGGGGTATGGAATTGTCTATTTCATAATGCCCGCAATATTAAACTCTGTTGTACGAAATGTTGCTTTTTAAATTTTAAATGCTGCTCAATGGAATATTTCTTGATATAGTAATTTAAAAACCTTTTAAAAAAGATGATACA